CATAGAGTATATATTAAACAATGCCTTTGAATAATTGAAAGTGATAACTTATACACAAAAAACTATTTGGAAACCCCAAGCGCGTTATGTATAATTGTAAATCAATTATAAAGTAAACATAATACTGGCCTTCGTCCTCAATTACATGGGAAGGCAAACTCTGTTATGCACGCGGTGAAGCAGCACAGGTGTATGCCGGCTGGACCTAAAACGCCCAAGTCGTTGAGGTTCAGGGTCTCCCGCTGTGGCCCCAGCTGTGAAATAGCGATGCTTGCAGCAGATACTTGCAGGATGTTCGTTATCTATCACAACTTTTGTTGATCAAACTCTGTGTCCACTGATCATGGAGATCGATATAGAGATAGTAATCATTAAAGGTATCTATTTGTTTTGTTCAACCAGTAACAAATAGCTTACTTTGAAATCCTTTCAAAATTCAGACTATAGGAAAAAGTTCCACGTTTGATGTCGCAATAAAATAGCTCCATGAAATATGTTCTTCTCATGAATATCTGCCTATAAATAAAGTTCATATCGGCAGAAAAATACACCAAATGTATCATACAGTAATCAGGTAATATATTTGATAACCCGCGCACATATTATGTACCACCGCATCAGTAAACAATAAACCAAAAAAATCCCCCCGTTCTTGTAAATGGCACTTTACAACACGAACAATTCTTTGCTCCTTTCAATTCTTTGGAATTTCATCTCGACAGAAAGACAGGGCACGTTCAGCTAAGTTAAACAATCACAGACGTTGTAACAAATCTTCAAAATAGACGTGCCTCTAATTTTAGCGTGGTCAGCAGGCGGGTTATCACAATACAACTGAATGACCACGTGACCTTACACCTTCTATCACACGTAATCCATCAACCAAGGCGTGGATCTAAGAATTTTTTATATTTTATCAATTAATCCTACCGGAAACCTCCAAACTAAGTTATCGCATTCAATACATAAATACAATTATTATTCTAAAAATTGTTGTTTTGTTTAGCGCACCTACAGAGAGAACAGAAAAAAAGATTGTCAACATTCATGATCAATTTTAAATATTTAAGAAAATGTGCAGTAAAATTTTTTTAAAGAAAGGAACAAACTTGATGTGTTGCAAGTCCATGTTTTCCCCGCTCCAATTTTGGCTTTTTGAGCTTGTTGAATACTGTTCGTTATCTCCACATATTTCATTCCCAATAACCTAAAAACCTATGATAAAGCACCTCCACCATATAAAGCTAAAGGACATGAGAATTCTGTCACTTGCAGTCAGTTGATTAAGATATTAAGATAGATCTCTGAAGGAAATGTTTATAAAACGTGTCCAACGAAATAGCTTTTGGGAAGTGATTATTGTTTCATCAATGGAACGTATAGAAAAAAACAGCTATCAAGCTCAATTTTCTTATAAAACAATACAAATCGTGAGCAATAGGGTGAATTCACCATGCATCGGACACATACCTTGCTTCGGACAACTTTAGACAATAACCTCTCTTTCAACTTAAGAGTTCCGTGTACTTATTTGTTTCTGTCTTAAAGCTGAAGATTTAAATTTTTTAATGATACCGATTGTTATTATCACGTTGTGATAAAAATACCCCGAGAATGGCCTTGAAGTTACGTCATATTTTACATCATCAAAGGGGAATAACCAGAAATTTATGATTTTGCGATTTTTTGAGTTATCGTTCTTAAAATTCGACTTCAACAGAACGAGTAAGACTTTGGTGAATAAAGTCAAAGATTGGTAATTTTACATAAATTTTAAAGAAATTTCACTTCATTATTCGTATAACTCTTTTTAGAGGTGGTTTTCAACAGTATGTTCATTTCTCCGTACATCGGACACAAATTAACCATGCATCGGACACTTTCCGATGCAAAGGTAAGCACTATCATTTTCATACAGAACCCAGCTGATAGCTGTTTTTTGCGGAAAAAGTAAATAAAAACTCTATATTTTTAGTCTAATACAAGTTATCGATATATGACGTCTGGAATTTGACTCAATTTGTTTCTACAAACCAGAGTATGATAAACCATGAAAAAAAGGCGCGAATTACCGCATTATAAGCATTTTAAAACATTTCTAAGGCAGAGTGAGGTCTCTTGAATCGTTTTACATTTGTTCAACGATATCGTCAATTAAATTTAAGTCGAGGGTTATTTCTTAGATAAAAGATAAAAAAATATCCATATCAAGCATTTTAAAGCACTTTGATAAAGGTATGATAGTTTTCCGGTCAAAATACCGTCTGTCCGATGCATGGTAAACAATGTCCGATCCATGTGAATTTTGAGTTATTCCTAAAAACTCAAAAGATTTTTGAGGATATTTTCTCAATTAAGGGCATATAATTGTGTCCCAAATTGATATTTTAATCACAAACTAAATGTTAAACTCCGTTTTGATAATTTTCCGTCGGTAGCGATATCGCTAGAACTTATTGAAGCATAAGGGTATCCGATGCATGGTGAATTCACCCTACCGACCTATGAAATAAATAGGTGGTCACGTGACATATACGTGAAAACCTATCAACATCTCATATGGTGTCTGTTCACATTCACTTTGAACACCTTTATTGTCTTATGTTAGTCATAAGTTAGACGTTATCCTACAGAAGCTTTATTTGATTTACAATGAAAGTTGTAAAGTGTATTACAAAGAAAAACTCGAAGGTGATTAAGAAGAAGAGAGTTAAGATGTAATACAAGCCCGAAGGCAAATAGAAATAAATCAATGTGAAGTAGTTAGATATAAAGCTTACATATAAAAATGCTTGAGTTTTTTATTAACAATACCAAAGTGGCTCTTGAAGACCGGGTCTTCCAACAATCTACTGTAATTCCATGGGTCAAATTGAGTTCATTTTTAGCAGACCTGGTTTAATATTCATATGAAGCAGAATTTGTTCAAAATCTAGAAAATAAACCGGTCGAAGCCTTCACTCGACATAAAAATATATCGACGACATAATGTCATTTCACATAGGTGATTTCCCATTCTTATTTCAATACGATACAGTCATCCAGGTGAGCTTGAGATAAAAGATACCACAAAAAATTCTACCACATCTGTCTCACACTTAGATATTATTTCATTTGAAGGAGACGTTAATGGTAATCCAACAACCAAACTCTATGATAAACAGAGTGACTTCTTTTCAATCGCCAATGTCACTTACTTATCCAGTAATACATCATTATCACCTGCATACGGAGTTTATATCTCTCAGTTGATTCGATACACAATAGCATGCTATATGTATGTACTATTTCTAAAACGGTAAATTATTGACAAACAAGGTAGTGAAACAAGAATATTAGCAGTCTCGTTTAAGGTCATAATATCGTAAGTTCTATGGTCGATACAGTAAAACTCGGTAATAACGAATACGGATATTGCGAATTCACGGATATAGCGAATTCATCTTGAATCCCCAGCTATATAAATTTCTTATACGGTTATAACGAATTACGGCTATAGCGAAGCAATTTCATCGTTATAACCGAGTTTTACTGTACAATGGCCTTGTCAGCAATTTGTTATTGAATCTAATGCTGACTGAGGTTTTTCATACAAATTGTTGTCCATTATTTACATGCTGAATTGACAACATATTTTCTACGTTATTTCCCAATCATGACAGGGAGCACACGGCGGAGGTGGCGTTTAGCCGGGGATAATCCCTTCTACATGGCACCTGATCCTACCTGTTGTGTTTGAGATCCGTGTTGGCAATGCTCCTATTTTTTACTGTGAAATGGGCTGTTGAGCTTGAATAATGTTCGTTATCTCTACATGCATATATTTCCTTGTAAACTTATTTTGAAACAAAAGCACTTGATATAAAAACTTAACAGACCTGATTATAGATCAAATTCATAGTTGTTGTGATGAAAAGAATGTTTGAAATCGTGATTTATTTTTCTATTTGAAGTATTGTTTCTTCCTCTCAATATTTGATAAGCAAATCGATTAATCTTTCTTCAAAAATAAGTGGGTTCCAATAAATGTTCCTCCAAGCCTCTTTTTTTTTTACTCCTTTCTAAATTATTAACAGATTAATGAAGGAGAACATTTAGGAAGTTCTTCGTTCTTGCAATTGCGAATAAAATGACGATACTTGTGAAGGGGTTTTGCTTTCGAACATTTCTACTCTGAATATACTCACAGTAATTATTTTTCTGGATTAAAGTTTTAATAAAAGTAAAAAAAACTGGTGAAAAGTGTAAGGATCTTTCCATCAAACAATCCAAAAATTTGAAGTTTTAATAACTTTAAATGAAATAAAAATTTCAATACATTTTTGTGTGAAATGCTATTAATATATATAAATCATGATATTATACAGAAAACATTATTTTCAAATCTGTGTCCATGCACCTTTAAAACGTAGTGCTTATCAGGTTTTGAAACTTTAAAAATCCAATGGAACTCTGAAATTTGAAATCATAAAATTATACCAGAATTAATAACATCAATACTACTTCTCAACATTTTATGAAAGTCCAATTTTTATGACATCATAGACCGATATTTTTTTTCAAAAAGAATGGAAGTAGAAAATCACTCATACCAATTGGTAGGCCTTTGTTTTTATACTGAATCTGACTATAGCATGTTCTGTCTACTTAGTATCTGATTCAAAAGGCTCATAACAAGTGTAATATTCCTCTGAGTGTTTCTACAAAAAAAATTAAAATCTTTTCTAGTAGTCATTCGGTATTTGATTATCAACTTGTTGTAAAGATCTTTTTTTTTAAATTCAATTAATTTTAGTTTTAACTTGCAAATCTATTAAAATTTTCCACAGTTTATTTGAAGAATAGTATCACAGATATGTGCAAGTGTACAGGTAAGGAAAATAAAATATATCTAAGAAACCAAATCATGCACAACATGGGAATCGTGTTAAATAATTACATGAATAAAATTGAAGATTGGATAACCTTAAAAATAAATATACTTTTACCACAACAAAAATAAGTTGTTTATGCTCCAGCATAATAATTATATGCACTCGATCTTCAATGTTCATTGCATATATGAACAGTTTTTATAAACAAGTGACCATTATCTAAATCATTATGAAGCGGGATGTCAACCAATAATAATAATTTTTTGTACATGAACAGCAAAAATCACGAAATAGTATATCATCAATATATAGTTTTTCTAGACTTCACTACGTTTATATCCTCTTCTTTAAAGTCCAAAATCACATATCAAATGATGATAATGCAAAAAGAGTATCAAAACGCATTATAAGAAATATTCAACATGGCGTCGATTTTCCTCGGTAAACAGGATTCTATGGAAAAATAAAATAAATATATGAACACATTCAATTACACCTACTTTTGTTCCTTATGCTTTCTCATGTTCATTTTAGTTCACTGATTAACTTAAATCATTTTATTTATAAAAAAAAAATTAATAGTATTTTACTATCCTATTTGAATTAGCATTTTCTACATTTTCAGTTATGAATAATTGAAAAGAGGCTTTTTTTCATGTTCAATCTTTTACATACCGGTAATTGTATCCTTGGTATAATGGATCCCTCAGAGTATTTTCTGACCTCTGTTATTTAATTGAAAAAAAAAATCGTAACAACAAAAAAATTAGTTAAAATTAAAATAGTAAAAAATAGTCGAAGTAAAAAAAAAATAAAGACATTTACCTTTGAATTCCTCTTCACTGTATAAATCTTTAGAATTTGATTTTGAAACCTATATCAAATTTTAGGAAAAAAATAAACTGAACTTCCAAACTTGTGTTTTTGAAAAATAATTTATTTCAAGATTACAATTTTAAGAAAAAATTGGGATTGATCAGACACCATTAAAAATTTGTAAATTACCTTTCAAAATTGTTTTAGTTATGTTTTTCCACTTACTAATTTGTTCTTGGACGTTCGCGTCGTTAAAGTTCTTGATTCATATTTTCTAATTTTTCTTGACATGGCTTGCCGAACCTATGAAATATAATATACACTGACTCTCTGCAATGTAGAGGTATAACAAATACATACTTATAAAAAGTTAAACCAAACATATCTGAATTTTATTTTCCATTTCCAAACATCCCATTTTAATGAGCAAAGTGAGTATGAAATATACTTTGATAATCTGACAAATAACTTAATATTTTATTTATTTTATTGTTCATTATTATCCTGTTACACATGAATGCATGCCATACCTGATTGTTCATTAAAACATGGAACAGGAAAATAAAAAGGCCCTGAAATACAAAAATACAGAATTATACAAGATATTTGAATAAAGCAAAATGAGTTTTTAAGGACCACGACACTGATTTCACTTGTACATCTTTTTATCACTGCTTAACACTACTAGCGTGCAGGTAAAAAAGCCCAAACGAAGCCATCGTCTAAATATAAATTTAACAGTTATTTGTCAAATATGATAAATCATAGTATACACTTATCCACTGGCTGTCAGTGGGGTTGCTCTTTATCAAACCGTGAAAGGTTTTATTCCACCAGGGTTCAATGAAACAATGCTTTATTACATCTGATGTATATAATAATTTCTAAGGGTTGGATTTCCCTGATATTACAGATTCATAGGAAAATTATGAAAGTTTTGGTATTTTGAAAAAGAAACATTGCTGGAATGAGCAGTCAAGGTGACATCGCAATGCTGCTGAAGATGATATCATTAGTCTATGGATTTTTTCTAGGAAATTAAGATTGGCGGCAGAAATTACATGAAAATTTTCTGAGGGTTGGGTAGCACAAATTAAACCATAGCTATGCGTGGAAATTTTCTGACCGGTAAAAGTGGTTATTTTATGATTTTTACTTTATACAGGAAACATTTTAACAGAAGAATAATAATTGTTAGTATCCTTTTAAAATTATCAAACAGAAGCACTGTACCACCTCATTATCACGTGATAACTCACAAATAGAAACAAGAGGTCAGTGGGTCACATCGCTCATCAGAACTCACGGCTAGGAAGATGCAGAAATCAGCCATATAACGTAATGCTAAATGAGATTGCTGTTCTTGTTTCAGCAACTTGTTTGCCAATAATATACATGTACCTCATTTTAGAAATTTTTCCTGAGTAGCTTGCTCTCACCCATTGATTCAACTGAAAGATATCAACCCCGTACGCAGGTGATGGGGGTATTTATGTATATAAGTAAGGGACACTGACGATTGAAGAGTTAGACACCCGTTTATCATAAAACTTAAGCTTGTTTGTTAGATTGCCATATGCATTGAAGCCATTGACAAACACACAGATAGAAAAAACAGAGAATGAAAACTAATCAATTTTACGATTTGTTGACGGAAAGGTCTAGAAAGAAGACTTACTTGTAAGGAATTAAATATGGCAAATAAATATTTGAAGACAATGGTGCTGCTATCTATTGATAAAATTCCAAAAACCCAAGTCAACCCAAGGACAGGTAACAATGCACTCATTCCTCGAACCCCACTTCTGCAACATATAACAATAAAAAAAAATTTTAGGGGATAGCAATGACGTTTTCTTTGACATTATATTTGAAAATGAAATGAAAGGTACAAATGGATTTATACATTTTGGATACTAAGAAAATTGTTATAGCAAACAGCATCCAAGCCCCAATCATAAAGTGTAGTTTGCTGTATCTTAAAAGAAGAAAATAACCTGTGAACACTTTTTTCTATATCAGCATGTAACTGTTAATCAAAACAGTTTTTACTACACCTATAAACCAATTTTCCCATTGTCTAAAATTTTCAGCACATATTATCTGCTAAAAACATTAATATTAAAAAACATATTCATATCAAATTCAGATAAAAATGTGTACATATCTCGAGCACTTACAAAGTAAAACTTACATTGTCTTTTCTTTCAGAGACTTTTTCACCATAAAAGAGGAAGAGAACATCGTTTTCATTACCATAACAACGATGATAAAATTTACCTGAAAGATTTTTATTAGCAGTGTGTTATAATTTATTGAGCCACAAAGATACAGATCAGTCAAATTAAATATAAAATGTATATATATAACAAAATGTATGTGTGCTTGTAGTGGGAAAAAATCAAACCAAAATGATCCTATAAAAAAATTATGCAGCTATAGACTTATTTCATGGTGAATATATGGTTCGTTATTCAGCAGAAAAATGACAATTAGACCGAAGCAAAGCCGTGCTCAGTAATGATATTATACTAGAGAAAAATAAACCATACTTTCAAACGGAAGAGTCCGAATTGTTTTATTTTGATATAGAGTCAGGATTTTTAAAATAAGTCAGACATTGAAGGTTGCAAGACGATCACATTTTTGTTTGGCAGCGAACTTCTGTTGTAGAAAATAAAATGCGCATAGGATACATGTTATAAGTTTCTGATTTCTTGTCGCGGATTTGTAGGACATCAAAATTATTGGAAAATAAATAAAATAATAAGACATATAAGATATTATTTCGGCTCAAATATACAGCTGACTACGGCAGTAACAAGCGTCCTTTTCAACCTTGTAAGAGGTTTGATAGTGACGTCAAAATACCGCCTAACGCACACGGAATCTTCGTTGAAAACGGCTTCAAATCCAGTGGATGTGTAAACCAATCTTATGATCTACAGAAAACCTCTATTATAGTGAAGATACTAATAATAGGTTGACATTTACAAAAAATTGATTCTCATTCCCCGTGATTTTATTTTTTATTGTAAACTTGACGGATAAAAAGAATAAAAAGAAGCAAAATTGTCTATCCCTGACACTCCGTTTCAGACGGTTTTACTGTATTTGCATTTTTATGGATTATTCAGGGACTTTTTATTATCTATATGATAATGCATGATATATCGATGACAGTTCTGTTCCACTTTGTTGTTTGTATCTTTTAAATTTGTATTGTTTATCTCTAGGCCTTATTTTCGTTATATATAGCACTTAATTCTCAACATTAGAAAATAATAAGAAATCAGATGTATCATATTATTTCATTACCGAAATAATGATCAGGGCAGGAACAATAAAACCATAAAGAGCACTATTTCTCAGCCAGCAACTGAAATATTAAAGAAGCTTTTTATATATATTATTTGACAAAAAGATAATTGAAAATCAATGACAATTGTGACAAAATTATTTTGAATCAATATATTTGTTAAAAGGGATACTTTTTACAAAAGGTCTTTTAAAAAAGATTATCAAGACTGTTTAAAGTACGCTTTATAAGTTATATTTTAAGCTTTTGAATTAAATCAAAGCACGAAATTTTTGTACAAATCGATTAAGTGTATAAGATTTCTTAAAATCATTTGATAAATCCGATCTGGTATGGATACCAGTGCTATGCATTAGAAATCTCTTTTCATCATGATATAATTACATTAATGCCACTGAATTTTTATCTTCTCTCAAAGTAATTTTTCTTTAAATCACAATATGGGACAGGAAAAATAACAACTTAAAAAAAACAATAGTATGAAGCTAATTTTAAGACTTATGATGTACTTACAACGTTTTACTCCCTATGTCATGCAGTTCCGTTGCTCCGAGCGTGATTCCCACGACAGCAGCTGGTAGTCCTTATGTAATGGAACAATTACAGTCACATGAAAATAATAAATCTAATTGTTAGGATTCAAAAATTTATATTTTATCAATTTCTTACACAATTTTTATGCCTAATCAAACGCCTAAAATTTATTAATTTAAATTTTTTTTTGATGGGAATAACATTACTCGAAATTTATACTCGTCAATGATTAAAAAATACTATGTCAGGGTGTTTAAAAAAACCTAGGACAAATTCTTAAGTATATAACTACAAATTTTCTGTAATTATTACTAATAAATTTACCCCAGCCCAGTAGTAGTAAAAGAGCAGAGCTAGATCTGGTACTGAAAACATCAAGTATGGCCACTGCCAGATCGATTCCCAGGGCCAACATAATGCAAAACATGGCAAGGAAAAAGTACTGAAGAAGAGCCGCAATGACAGTACACACGGTCTGGAACGAAACATAAATATTTGAGTGTCTCGAGTTACAAATGGTATCTTATTAGCATATAAATTTGTCTAACATGATGTTTTATGGTACAAATTTCAAAAGTGCCTGTATAAAGAACACACTAATATTTAAAAGTGAAACAAGAGGCCCATGAGCCTTATAGGTCACCTGAGCATTATGCAACAACTTTCCAGTGATTGAATTTGATTCATGTTTTAAGCCAGATGCTATGGCATTCACAATTTTGAAAGAGGCACCATTGATCATCATAACAATACACTTAGCAGTTGCTTAGTTTGTTTACTTAATACCCATACGCAGGGTAAGGGAACACAAAATGCATTTCAACTAATCAGTAATATTCAGCAATAATCAGTAGTGCTCCTACCATACATGAACCCCTGACCCTTAGGCCTTGATATTTGATTAATACCAAGGAGCAGATTTCAAACCATTCATTCATTTTCAGTATACAAGTACACCACCCCCCCCCCCCTCTATGGTACCCCTGACCCTGGGGCCTTGAAATTCACAATTGTGGAAGATATCGGCCCTTGTCCATCATAACTATATTGGTAGTTCATCTGCTTAATACCCTGGAGCAGCGAAGAAAATTTTCAAAGATTTAATGTATTTTCACTATTTAATCAATAGAGCCCCGCCCTAACACCAGAACCCCTGACCCTGGGGCTATAAAATTCACAATTATTGAAGAGGCATTCTTGCTCATCATAACTATATACTTAGTTAGTTTATTTATTTCCTAGGAGCTGAGGAGAAGATTTTCAAAGAATTCATGTATTTTCTCTATTTAATCAATACAGTCCCAACCTAACACCAGACCCCTGTCCCTGGGGCCATAAAAATAATAATTTTGGTAGAGGCACTCTTGCTCATCATAACTATGCACTTAGTTAGTTTATTTAATACCCAGGAGCAGAAAAGATGATTTTCAAAGAATTCATGTATTTTCACAATATAATCAACAGAAAACCGCCCTAACAGCAGAACCCCTGACCCTGGGGCTATAAAATTCACAATTTTGGTAGAGGCACTCTTGCTCATCATAATTTTGCATTTAGTAAGTTTATTTAATACCTAGGAGCAGAGAAGATTTTCAGAGAATTCATGTATTTTCACTATATAATCAATAGAGCCCCGCCCTACCACCAGAACCCCTGACCCTGGGGCCATAAAAATTAAAACAATTTTGGTAGAGGCACTCTTGTTCATCATAACTATGTATTAGTTAGTTTATTTAATACCTAGGAGCAGAGAAGAAGATTTTCAAAGAATTCATGTATTTTCACCATATAATCAATAGAGCCCCGCCCTAAAACCAGAACCCCTGACCCTGGAGCCATAAAATTCATTATTTTGGTAGAAGCACTCTTGCTCATCATAACTATGCACTTAGTTAGTTTATTTAATACCCAGGAGCAGAAATGATGATTTTCAAAGAATTCATGTATTTTCACTATATAATCAATAGAGCCCCGCCCTAACAGCAGAACCCCTGACCCTGGGGCTATAAAATTCACAATTTTGGTAGAGGCACTCTTGCTCATCATAACTATGCACTTAGTAAGTTTATTTAATACCTAGGAGCAGAGAAGATTTTCAGAGAATTCATGTATTTTCACTATATAATCAATAGAGCCCTGCCCTAACACCAGAACCCCTGACCCTGGGGCCATAAAATTCACAATTTTGGTAGAGGCACTCTTGTTTATCATAACTATGTACTTAGTTAGTTTATTTAATACCTAGGAGCAGAGAAGAAGATTTTCAAAGAATTCATGTATTTTCACCATATAATCAATAGAGCCCCGCCCTAAAACCAGAACCCCTGACCCTGGGGCCATAAAATTCATTATTTTGGTAGAGGCACTCTTGCTCATCATAACTATGCACTTAGTTAGTTTATTTAATACCCAGGAGCAGAAAAGATGATTTTCAAAGAATTCATGTATTTTCACTATATAATCAATATAGCCCCGCCCTACAGCAGAACCCCTGACCCTGGGGCCATAAAATTCACAATTTTGGTAGAGGCACTCTTGCACATCATAAATATGTACTTAGTTGGTTTATTTAATACCCAGGAGCAGAGAAGAAGATTTTCAAAGAAATAATGCATTTTCACTACCTACTTATTTAGCCCCGCCCTAGCACTAGAACCCCTGACCCCAGGGCCATGAATTTCATAATTTTTGTAGAGGACTCATTGTTAATTACAATCATGCAAACAGTTTGACTGCTTGATGTCCAGGAGTAAAGAAGAAGATTTTTAAAGATTGCACTAATTTTAGTGGTTTTGGCCCCACCCCACAGGCCCCAGGGGGGCAGGGATCATGAAATTCACAATTTTTGTTCCCCTTCACCCATAGATGCTTTATGCCAAATTTGGTTGAAATTGGTTTAATGGTTGCAGAGAAGAAGCTGAAAATGTTCAAATGTTAATGCACAACGCACGACGCACGACGACGGACAAAAATAGATAGCAATAGGTCACCTGAGTTTACTCAGGTGACCTAAAAAGAATACGCTTTATGATGTAATTAAATTAAGAATTAAACGGCACTGGTTAATTGACTTACATTAATTATAACTAAAAAGAATACAATAATTATTTAAGCATTAACCTCATTGTTAGTTTGGTTTCCAGCTGTTAGAAACAACAAATATGCAAATGACAACGCCACACAAAGGTTGATAATCAGTACAGATCTTCGTGATTTAATGTATCTGTAAAGGGGGAGAAGAAAATGAATTAGTTGTAAAATCTTACTGTACAAATACTATGTTTCATAAGGGCAAATAAGCAGTGAAGTCAGTAATTCACCTCCAAAAATACAAGTATATGACAATTGTTGCAAATGCTCCAACTATAGAAAAACTGCATCCAATGATGGAAATCATTGTCAACCATTTCTTATCCTCTTCTGATAGCTAATAAAATAAAAAGATGTTGTGATCAGATGTATTACATTGTTTTGTTCCTTAGTAGCATTGAAATGTAATGATTGTAGATGGGTAGAATTAAAAAAAATTATTTAAATTAGGTATATTGTTCTAACAAACTGTTTATTGCATAATTATATACACTTTTTTTCAAATCAAAGTTGCTTCAAAATTGTACATGCAATACCTCATTTACCTTTCTATTATCCAGACTCATTAATATAGCAAAGTTTGTTAAGTGATTACACTCACACACGGTCTGTGAACTATTGGAGAGGGAAGTGTTAACGCTACAACCTGAATAGTTCCATAAGCTTCAAATAAAAAAAATGTAGAAAGAAGTTTTAATTTAAACACGCTTTTTCCTCTAAAAAGAAATAGTTTGATTTGTCTTTTTGTTTATATATTAATGTTTAACCACTCTTGTATATACATTGCTTAAACCTTTGTACAAATGTAAAAATTAAAAAAAAAATGACTGTCGGTTAGAAATTTTAATAAAACTCTTTAATGATTTTTAAAAATGATGTTTGATATTTAAGATTATAACAATTTGAATTGATTTAGCGTATGTAAATAGGAAAATTAATTTAAACATCGGCAAGAAAGATTAAAAGCAATTGAGATATTTTTCTTTGGGTTATTTTAATTGTTTAAATATCGGTACATTTTCTACAATAAAATTATATAAGAAGAAACATGCAATAAATAAAACACGTGTATGTTAAAAGTGTGGAGACTTACTGCCCTGCTTCATTTAGAAAGACACATTGTGCAATATTGTTGTTGGCTGAGACCTGTAAATTAAACAATGACACTGAGATGAAGAAAAATTTTATAGCAAAAGGATCATTGCCTTTTACTCTGGTCTCAATATACTCCTGAAGATCATTATGTGTTCAAAAATCAAATCTTTTCTTCCTAATCATTAATGGTCCCCACTTTACCCCAGGAACTATGACAGTCACATATATGTATGATGTTTTCAATGTAATAAATAACCGATAGTTTACATATTATGCCAGTGGTTATACTGATGATTTTGAGGAATTATTTCCCTAAATTTTCATTTAAATTTCGAACTTCCCACTGTTTTTGTCACCCTATCCCAAAATGGTCATTGTTTAAACTGTTTAGAATAGGTGTTATCAAGAGGGAATCTTACATTCAAGTTTCCTCATTTCTCGTCCAGTGTTTTTGAGAAGAAAATGTTTTCTTGTATATCCTCTATGAAAGAAATCATTTAATTGGTTTTTTTTTTGGCATCCCCTCTACCAAATGATGTCTAATTAACCCAAATGTTATTGAGTAAAAAATATGTATAGCTTACACACAGACGGAGAGAAATATAGACAGACGAGAAAAGATCTAAAATGCTCAACTAAGATTAATGTGCAACTTTTGAAAAAAAGTGATAACTAAATCTTTGAACGTACGTTTCTTGAAATTCTCTGGAAGGTAAGTGTGATGTTACCATTAAGGTCGCCATTCAAATTGTCCACTGTAAGCGATAATACACTGGAGTCGAGTTCCCTTAAAAAAATAATTAAATTATGTTTAAATACAGTGTAAGTTTCATACATTCAAAATAATTACAATGATTGTCAAATACAGATTTTCATAATTATGCTATGATGATATTTGTAGAGAATGAGTACTCTGATATCTTCCAATCAAGTCTTCTTTGTAATCTCTTTTTAATTTTTTTGTAAGTGTATAAAATACTACAAATATGGGATCGTCCCTTTTGCTTATAATCTTATAAACAATATATACACACCCCAAAAAGAAATTGCAATTATTTAGGTTGTTTGAGTGATTACTAATTTTCTTCAGTGTCAATAACATCAAGACATATGAAGACAAAGAACAGAAATAATACAATGAGAGTCTATTGAAACAATTCACATCAGGAGCAGAGTTAGTAATAAAAACATCAAAAACGTCAGGGATTGGATATTGTGTCATAAAGGAATAAGCATCCCCTGTCGACTGGGTATATCCGCTTATGCTTCTTGTCATAATGGATCAATGAAAAAAAAAACATCGTTGTCAATTCAGTGTAAAAGTAATTGACAATTAGTCTAACAATTAGAATGGAAAACATCTCTCAAAATATGACACATTGAAAGACTGCATTTGGTTGCAAGATCTTGACCATAGAATTTGCGACATTTTCATAAAAATTAGAGGGGTTGATTTCCTTGTTCCATTAACTTACCGGTATTTATAGATAGAATGTCTCACTTCGGAATTGTTTAACTGTAAAGCATTCTCTTGAGTTTCGAATCAAGGAGACAAATAAAGAAAAAGGAAAATCCATCTTTACCATTTTAGTATTTTTATAGTTAAACAAAATCCCAAATATTAATCAGATGTTTCAGACTCTTTTTTTGTCTTTTTTATCAAAACATTTTTGGAATAATTAGTGATGTTTTTAGTATAGGTCAATGACATACTCGCCAGTGTCCTCGGTATCGAAGCTCGACCCAAGATTATCGTATTTTACTGCTGTAAATGCAACATTGTCACCTGAAATTTAAAAAAGTATTAAAAAATACATAGGATAAAAAAATAGCAAATATCTAACAAAAAATATAGAAGTTAAATCAGTCAAAAATTTTGATACCTGAAATATTTTGTAATGCGGATTCGGGTAACTTGAACCGTGTAATAGAATCAGTTAAATTTTCGGTCTCCTTTGGGAATACAATCTCCTGTTTTGGAATTTTCTCAATGCTCAACACTACGATTGTAAATTAAACCCAATTATTGAAAAAAAAATACCGTTTAAACAATGTCTTCATTACATTTAAAATAAATAAAATGGTCTTACAGAGATTTTCTTTCTTAACGGTGACTGTCTTGTTTACTGTTAGAGATTTCGTCACAGACTTCGCAAATCCGTCCACAGATGTTAATATTTTACCTGTAACCTTTTATAAAAATAAAATAATAGTTATATTATAATGATAGTTCTTTGATTGTTCTTTGGAATTTAGTGAATCTCTGATGAAAAGAGGGTGTCTATTAACCTATTCCCTGTCACTTGTCTTTTGTCCGTCTGTCTGTCCAGCTGGTAAATTTTCATATTTTTCTTCTTTGTTTTAGAATTTCAGGCAACGTTTAACTAAACTTTGAACAAAATGTATTTGGGTAAAGGCAAACCGCGTTTTTTAAAGAATGAAAACACCCTCGTTCAAAGGGAGAGAAACAAGAAAACATAAAAAGATTGAGTGAGTAACCTTTAGGACAGAAAATGGATCTTACTTAAAGCTTCCTGCAATTTTGGGGGTTCAGGCCATAAGAGAAGATCTAAGAAAATCTTTAAATGGCCTAGGTGTTTTGTTCATAAAATTGTAGTCATGGTTAGTCATATAAATAACTATTTAATCATTCTCATTTTTTTTACATTCAGGAATCCTAAATATTATTATACAAAGCATATAAATAGAAGGGAAAATACCTCTTTTTCATCAGTATCTTTCACGTGTTCTCTTCCAGTGTCCAAGAGATTACTGACGACCCCTATGAATGTCTGAATGATAAAGGTTTTATATTAGTTTTCCATATTATTTTAAAGGCATTGCACATTAGGAAGAGTGGTATAATTCGCGATCACACGATATATTAACATTAAAAAAAATTATGAAAATGTTAAATTGATTTGAACATATCTTATCAATAATTATTATGTAATGATATATACGGATTGAGCGAGAGGCAGAGTTTATATAAGCTACACAGCTAATTGTGCCACGTACGTTTCACGTATGTTAAACGTATGTGACACATACGTGACTTCACGTACGTTTTCCATGAAAAAAATACCACGTACGTTATATGTATGTTTTCACACGTGTGAATATCATGCGTGTCACGCATGTTAAACGTACGTATTGCCCACCATACGTTACACGTATATTGCACACGTACGTTACTCATACGTTTCACATATGAATAACGTACGTGCAACGTGTGTGTAACATATGTTTCTCATAACATGTTTAATGGGTTTATTATTTGCACTGCTCATATTGTAAATGTATAAATACCATACAAAAATGTGTCAAACCATGGTTAAACACGTTTTGAACATTTTTTCACATATTGTAAACGTTGGTGAAACAAAAATTACGTGCAATTTAAATATTCAATTCATGCATTTGACATAATTTCTCTCAAAGGCTTATTTTCTTTTCATCTGTTGAATGATCCACTTTCTGGTTATCCTTCACTTTAAATTTCCTGATCCTTTTTGCTCTTGAAGCAATCACAACAAAAGACATATTTAGATTTAAGCCAAATTTAATGTTGAGTATGTTAACATCAATTCATTCTTCTCCAGTTCTCTTTTATCTGTAAAGAAAAAGAAAATATTAAATGCATGGAATAAGGGAAAACCCATTTTTTTCCCCTGAACATTATTATTATCCACATATTAATCTTGGTTGATTCTCTGTAGAACTTAAATATAAATACTAAATAATTAATTTTTTAGTATTCATATCAATGATCTTTTAAACTATTTTTTTCACTATATCCTCAAATATCTACCTTGTAATGTTCTTATCTAAAATTCATTACATAGCATTGATTTGTGGGTGAACTCGAAAAAAACTGTACATACTGATACCCCATATGCCAGTTTATGGTTCAAGTTTCCCAAGTGCAAGTCAAACTCCAAAGTCAAGGTCAAAGGTCAAAATTGTTGACATCCAAGGACGGACTTGTCACAAAGAGTAAATATGTGAAATATGAAAGCCCTACTACTATCAGCTCAAAAGTTATGATCAAAGTTAGTTTTTTAACAGCCAGGGTTAAACTAGAAGTACAAGGTCAAATATTTTGATTTATACCCATTGAAAGGTTTTGTCACAATAAATATACAAGTGAAGTATGAAAGCCCTTGCACCAACTGTTCAAAAGTTAAGGCCAAGATTCAAGTTATGAAACTTTCTTAAAAGTGAATCATACTCCAAGTTCAATTCAAAAGGTTAATTTGGTGTACCAATACAAAAGTATTGTCACTATGAATACCCAGGTCTATGACATATGAAAGCCATACTTTCACCCACTAAAATAATATGGCCAATGTGAAAAGATTTTGCAGACAGACAGACAGGGTAAAAGCTATATAGATGTACCCCAGAATCTTTGATTACAGGGGTACAAAACTTATTCCTCATTGTCATGAACTTAGTCTTTTTGCTTTCAACTTAGGAGCATTATATAGATTTTCAATGAATCAATGCAATTTCAGTTTATGATTAATTAATAAAGCTGTGCCTTTACATCTGATCCACCTACCCTGGGGCTATATGAATTTCATAATTTCATTAGGACTCGATGCTGATTAAAATCTTGCTATTAGTTTGCTTGATGTCCAATTAAAAAAATACAATTTTGAATAATTTTGATGGGTTACCCCCCCCCCCCCCCCCATTAGTTTGGGTGGTGGTGGAGGGAGGAGGAAGTAAATGCTAAAATTTTACCAGACAGAGCACAGTGTATGACGATGGACAACAAGAAACCCAAGGGCCTTGAATCGCTTTTCTAATAAATTGTACAATCTATCACTAGTATTTGAAGCCTCTATGTTTATAAGACCCAAAATACATCAATCAAGAAAGTTCGATGATTCTTAGCCAGTTAGGACTGAAGATATTTCAATAGAGCTATAAAATACCATAAGTAGATCATGGTGACCTACTTTTTGGTCGACATTCTCCAAAGATGCCTCAACTGACAAAGTTTAACAATTCTAGGCCAATATAGACTTCTTTTGGTTTTATCTTCCTGATTATCTCCAAACCCTAATTTTAGTATAAATGGTAGCCCTTGGGCCAAGGATGCCCTGTGAAAATTTGACAATGATTGTCCAAGGGGATCTTGAGTTATGACCCACATTCTAACAAGAGGCCCAGGGGCCACATCGCTCACCTGAGCAATTTGCTAGGAAAAATCACACATCAGATCAGAACTGAACGTTTGCTGGGGGGGGGGGGGGGGGCTTGAATTTTAACCCCCCAGGGGGCTATGATTTGAACAAACTTGAATCTACACTACCTGAGGATGATTCCCTATAAATATCACTAAGCATGGCTTTAAAGTACTTGAAAACAAGATTTTAAAAGGTTTCCCTAGATATTCCTATGTAAAACTTTATTGGCCATTTTGGTCCCACCCTACCCCCTGAGGTCATGATTTGAACAAGCTTGAATCTACACTATCTGAGGATGATTCCATACAAGTTTCATTTTCCTGTCTCAATGGTTCTTGAGAAGAAGATTTTTCCAATATATTCCTATGTAAAACTTTGATTGGCCATTTTAGCCCCACCCTACCCCCGGGGGTCATGATTTGAACAAACTTGAATCTACACTACCTTAGGATGATTCCACATGTCAGTTTCATCTTTCCTGGTCCAGTGGTTCTTGAGAAGAAAATATTTAAAGATTTTTCCTGTATATTCATAAGTAAAACTTTATTCGGCCATTTTGGCCCCACCCTACCCCTGGGGGGTCATGATTTGAACAAACTTGAATCTACACTACCTGAGGATGATTCCACATGAGTTTCATCTTTCCTGGCCTAGTGGTTCTTGAGAAGAAGATTTTTTAAAAATGCCATTAATTTTTTTCTAATTCATAATTATCTCCCCTTGGAAAAGGGCGCAGCCCTTCATTTGAACAAACTTGAATCCCCTTTACCCAAGGATACTTTGTAGCAAGTTTGGTTGAAATTGGCCCAGTGGTTCTTGAGAAGAAGATGAAAATGTGAAAAGTTTACAACAAAGCCAACGCCAACGACAACAACGACGCCAACGACAACAACGGACAAATTTTGATCAGAAAAGCTCACTTGAGCCTTTGGCTTAGGTGAGCTAAAAAGTTTATGCACACCGCACAAATGGCCGTAGCATTAGCTCATTGAGCCTTTGGCATAGAAGAGCTAAAAACAGTATACATTTACACCTATATACTGGCTATGAGGACAATAGCTAGTTTATCATCCCCAAAGACAACAACTATTCCCCAAGATGCAGACGAGGGAAATAGTTTGCTGTTGAGAGAGATGATAAACAAGCTATTTTCCGAATAGTAAGTAAATAGGTGTTTTATTATGGCACCTGATCCCACCTCTGATGTTTCGGGGGTCCGTGTTTGCTCTGCTCTTATTGTCCCCCGCTTGAAAAGTGGGGGATATTAATTTGGGTTTGTCCGTCCGTCCGTCCGTCTTTCTGTCTGTCTGTAACGCTTTCGTTTCCACACGATATCTCGAGAACCCTTTGAGCTTTTGCAATGAAATTTAGCATAGCAACTCCCTGTGGACTAAAGAAGACCCCTATTGATTTTGAGGTCAAAAGGTCAAAGGTCAAGGTCATAAATAAGCAAATTCTGTCTGTTAAAACACTTTCGTTTCCACACGATATCTCTAGAACCATTTGAGCTATTGCAATGAAATTTTATATAACAACTCCCTGTGGCCTAATGAAGACCCCTATTGATTTTGAGGTCAAAAGGTCAAAGTTCAAGGTCGTAAATTTATATATTCTGTCTGTTTGAAATACTATTATTTCCGGGCGATATTTCAAGAAGATTTTGAACTTAAGCAATGTAATTTTATATCAAAACTCCCTAGGACGTCTCTCGCCCCTCTCAAAGTGCCCCGCCCCGTTTGTATTATTAGTTTTTAAAGTATTACATATGTCGCTATTTTTAGCGCAGGGGCATGAGGAGAGTTATTGCGTATAAAACAGGTTCTCGATGGACTTTATGTTCTTATCACATCTATTAGAACTGTTTAATAAAGGCTAAATAAATCAAACACCATGGATTGTGTAAAATTTTGAGAATACCGAACATGAAAACATGAATATATACATGTATGTGACTTCACTTCTGCATATACTTCATACCATGTAAAGCGATTCCGTGGTCTAATGGTTATGTCTCTCGCTTGAAGTGTGTGAAGTCCCGGGATCGAATCTCGGTTGAACCTTACTCTTTTTTTTTTTTAAATACTTTTTTTTTTACTAAATGATAGTATTCAGCATGTCAAATGAAAAATTTATGAGGTTATAAAATCTTCATTACAGTGTGATAAAAATTCCATATAAAAAAATCTTTTATACACATAATGAAGAATAAGCAATCAAATCTTTATATGCATATTGACATACATGTATTTTATTTGCTTCAGTATACATGTATACATTTAATAATTCTACAAATTCAGTCAGGGGGGGCCGACTTTTTTCCCTAAGCGGGGGACACGAATTCTTTGAATTAGCTTGTTTTGTATAGTTTTATGGACTTTGAGATTGAATACTGTTCGTTATCTCCATATTAGTGATGGGGAATTGAAAAAAAATCAGAATCGATTATCGGTAATAATCGGCTGGGCATAATCGATTAATAATTGATTATAATCGAAATTTTGAACTTTAATAAAATTAATATAGAAAAGTTGAAACTTGTTCAGATTTCTGTCAGACTTTTACAAAAAAACATTACTTACATAAAATATTCAAAAATGTTGATTGAAATTTCTTTTATAAAAAGTGGAAAATAATATTTTGTTTACTTTAAACAATATAGGACTATATAAGACTATTGAAACAGAATGAGAATTTATTTTATTTTTTTTTTTTTATAAAGTCCATGCAATGGGTATTTTACTGATATTAGTCCCACCTTTTATTTAATATATGCATATTTTTCTTAAAATTAGTTTTAATTAGTTAAAATAATAAAATTGCAAGTCTTAAAAGAAGTTAGACTTGTATTTATGATAATAATTACGTTTCAAGATTGACTAGACTAATTATGTTTTCCTTTGTATGGGCCTAGTAAAACCTTGCAATATTAGCGTTTCCTGGTATTAGTCTAACCCCATATTTAATCATGGCGGTAAAAGTATCAACAAGACACGGAATCCTATTATCCTTCGATGTTTTCAACGTTCATCACTACTTTAATGCTCTTTGCACTTGGATTTGGCAATAAAATTAAAGTATGACAATTTTATTTTTTGTTAGCGATGTCGGCGACATTTATTTTATAATCGATTAGTAGCATCGAAGAGCTTCTAACGACCGACAATCGATTGTCGGCGACAAGCGTTCCATCACTACTCCATATCCTTCTATTATATACTGAAGCTGACTTAATTATATGTAAGGTCCGATCTGGATAAAACCAGAAGAGTTACGAAATGAAAAATTGAACTTACCTTCTGCATTAATCTTTAGCTTGGCATGGACTCATCTGTTTTTGTTTGTGTTCCAAGTGTATACTTTTTGTCCTTGAGGTTAAAAAAAAACATTTGTAGAAAAAAAATAGACGACTTTCACATTAAATTTTTCAAAAGTTATTCCCCTTTGCAGGGTCAATCCAGCATAAGGCCCTGTTTTCCCTCTGTAACCTTACCAAATTTATTGGTCAGTATCTTAAAAATAAAATCTGTAATGAATATCGTTCATTAAGATTTTCATGTTGCCCCAAACTTCGGCAATACAGGTACAGATCTAAATTGTCCAATAACGTTTGAAGATTGAAAATAATAACAGGTAACTTACAAAGGACAAAGTGGGAAAAATTAGAGTTATGCCGACAAGGGAAATAACTCTTAGTAGTGTGAAATTCGTCAAACTCGATTGCATTTCAAATTTTACATGAAAAGCTTCAAGTTACATGTAGTATTTGCAAGTCTAAAAGCAATATGATAAGAAAATCTTATTCCTTTTTAAAAGTATTACCATATTCAAGATTATACTGGTTAAACTTTAATAATCTGTTTTGGAGTCCATTCTAGGCATATAGGTGTTTACAAAGCTGAGCGAATCAGTCACCATCCTGGAATGCATATCTAAAATCACATAAAAATTCTCAATCTCAAACACAATTTATATTCATAAGGATTAAAAGGGCAGATATGTAAAAACAAAACTGTTACACCATTATTGCACTCAAAGATAATAATTTCCTTTACCATCTAATGTGATGTTTTAAATACTGTAAAAAGAAATAAATTCAGTGAGTGGAACTTTACATCAAATTGTTGTTTCTTTTTTTTTTTTTTTTTTGCATCTTATTTGTTAGGTTAAAAACATTTTAAATAAATACTTAATTGTTATAACAGTATTTTTTAAACTTCACTTGCATTTTGATATAACGTGCCCGTGTTGATGGATACACCTGGGTGCTGACCAAGACAGCTCACTGGCTCAACATGGTCAATATTTTCTGTTTTTGGTAGCCCACGTCTCCATTATGTAATACACTGAAGAAAAAAAACACCCCCCTTAGTTTACATGCAACACACAGTCATAAAGTAATTAAATAATTGTTGATTTTATGCATTCCTCACCTTTAGCTAGGCCCTAGAACTTGCAGACGTCAGACTTCTCTTACCAGTGACGTCACTGGTAACGTACATGTAATACATAAATGGAGGCTGGAAAATTCCGGAAGGTATATTTTATAAGTTTTATACGGACGGTACTCACTGTATATTTGATAATTATCTAGATGAATCATTTACTCCCTTTTGAGATTTGTTGTGAAATTATCGTGAATTTCTTTCTTTTTTTAAAATATATTTTTGCTCTTGAATTCGGATTGATTATATCTACCGATGACCGAGTTCAATTTTATGTGCCTCTACCGATATCCGATACATATGACGAGATTGGAGAACTTTTTATGTAAACTTTGTTAACTGTTTTTAGAGTAAATTTTAAACCAATGCGAACTGATAACATTATGCCAGACATGAAAGTGGACGTAAGGTAAACAATGTGAAATAAATATTGAAACCATGTGTTCATTAACGTACGTGTAACATGTGGTTGACTATACACATGTAAACCATATGTTAATTAACGTACGTAACGTGTAACATGTGGTTTACAATATACATGTAAACCGTACGTTTATTAACGTACGTGTAACGTATGGTTGCACATAACATATGTTACACGTACGTTTCACGTACGTAACACATACGTGTATTCCAAACATACGTTTAACGTATGTTATGTGAAACGCATGTAGTCACACATATGTTATACATACGTTGTACCACATACGTGAAACGTATGTTTGTAATACACGTATGTGATACGTACATTTCACATACGTGATACATGTGTTATGTGCAACCATATGTAACACGTACGTGGCACAATTAGCTGTGTATGTGGCAACGCACTTTGAAAAAATTACGCACTTTGAAAAAATTTTTCAAAGTGCGTTAAATTTGGGACCAACTCAACGCACTTTGAAAAAATTTTTCAAAGTGCGTTAAGAGTCTACATCAATATATTTTACCATGAAGACAAGTAACGCACTTTGAAAAAAAAATCATATTTTTTGTCATGGAAAGATTTTATTTGTTATTTATCTTTAAAAAAACTAAGCCTAACCCTAACCTCAAAAATGAATTGATTTACTCCCGTCGAAAAGAGGAGAAGACGGGTATAAGATCCCTCAGTCCAAATCTTTATCTTTCCAATACATAGGTGTCGGTAACAAACGGGGGAGGGGAGCAATAAAACTAAAAAGGGTACGCTGCATTTTCAATGCTTATATGATGTATAGCCCCCCCCCCCCATCCCCTCCCCTGGCCCATCGCCCATGCAGTCTCGATGTCTGTGCTATACTCAAAGCATTCATATAACTAGTGCTAATTGTAACGGGGACCGTTACAGATGTTCCCCAAACGCTCCCCAACTCCCTTTTATAGTCATATTCCCTGTAAGCGTAATTAAATAAGACAAACTTTTTGCATTTGAGACTTTAACAACGTTTACCAAGAAGTGTACCATGTTCATTCAAATTTTATCATTGCACACTTGCGCATGTTAATGCATGTGCGTAATGACCATATCATATTCTCTACACAATCTATATATTTTGATATGCTAAATTTTAATGTATTTAATCCAAAAGTATAAAAAAAAACGCTCATTCAAGTGTATTTTTTACTTTACCCATTTCACGTGCACGCACGTGCATACATGAGCATGGTGACCATACCTTCTTGTAGAAGTCCATTACATCTATCTGTTCTAAATCCAACCCCGTTTGATTGAAACCTAAGGAAGTTATAGCTGTTTAAAGTTTCAGCCAATCAGATTGCAGCGCACGTACATGCACGTGTATGTATGTGCAGGGTGACCATACCTTCTTATAGAAGTCCATTATATATATCTTTGTTCCAAATTCCAACCTGTTTGGTTGAAAACCAAGGGAGTTATAGCTGTTTACAGTTTCAGCCAATCAGATTGCAGCATTCGTACACGCATGTGTATGCATGTGCATGGTGACCATACCTTCTTGTAGAAGTCCATTATATATATCTATCTTCCAAATCCAATCCTGTTTGGTTGAAAACCAAGGGAGTTATAGCTATTCAAAATTTTAGCCAATCAGATTGCAGCGCACGTGCATGCACGTGATTTCATGATAATTGCTATAATTCATTTTGTAGGATATACTAATGCATGGCTATGTTCAAAATTTCAAAGGATTTCGTCAAAAAACAAGAAAGATATTGAGACTTTAGTTTCAGCCAATCAGAGCGTAGCGCACGTGCATGCGAGTGAGATCTTGCCATATTGACCACGCCATCTTGTTTATACTACTAATACATCCTTACATTATGAGTTTCAAAACATTTCATAAAAAAATAGAAAAGTTACGCCAATATACATTATATTGGTCATTCACGTGTTGCACATGCACGCTCTTGCAAGCACGTGCGCGCAAAATGACCTTCATTCCGCAAATCTACATTACATGTCTACTGACCCTAAAACATTTCACCTTAGCTGGATGTGTAGTTTACGAGATCATTCGCGGACAAAAAAGTGCCCAGGAAGAAGAAAAATAATAATAACTAGAAAGTCTGCTATTGCAAGCAATAGCATATGTCGCCCCGTACTGGACAAGACTTTCATTTTTATCATCACTAAAACAATGGTCCATTAGCTAAGCTTGGACAACCATCGAGTCGTATCAGTCGTTTCCGTTGGAAACGGAAGACCTTAATTGGGTACATACCATTTTATTTTTAGAATCGGTAGGAGAATAAAGGAGTGCCGGAAAAAATAACAAGTTCCTAAATTTGCAGACTTGCATAAAAGAAATTGGGCAGGTGTACTGAACTGAGCCTCATACTTGTTAATTGGCAGTATCTTTCCTACCAATAAAGCTTGGCAAATGTAATTTTTTAAGAAGATCAGCCGAATTATTTTGTGTATTATAACGCCAGTGAGAACTCTGAAATTTCACTTTCATTTTTAGAGGTTCTGCCGGAAAACGAATCTGACATGCCACCTTCAATTCGAGCATTTCTGCATTGTACAGGGCTGATGTTTCTTATGAGATGATAAATCATGTGTAAACTTTCTCAGTTTAGCGGAATCGTGAACATTTTCGGCGAGATGAATGTTTTGTTTACAGTAGTGATCAAGGCTTAGCGCACTTGTAGGAGTGGATCCTAGGATTTATGAATGAATAAAAACTATGGAAATAACGTACCAATTTTCTAATTTATACTTGCACTATCTAATGAAATTAATAATATACAAGTAATAGATATACAAAAGAAAATGCGAAATGCTAATAAATGCAGTTGACAATCGTTATTTTATATATAGATAAAATAAAATAATTATGAAATCTAGAGACAAGACAGAAGAAGAATGAAGGTTGGCAAACTATGAAATCACATCAGGAGAACTGAATTTTATGAATGAAACTTTTAAAGCGTTACTTGTAAGTTGTATATGTAAGATATGTGTATTCTAACTGGCAGTGCGCTTCAAAAAGGGGGGGGGGAGGTCGTCTTGAACATAGTACCTTACGTTTGAACGGTAAGGGCTAGGGCTTTCGTATTTCAAATATGTAATCCTTGTGAAAAGAACTTTTATTGGACACGAAGAACTTTGACCCTTTGACCTAGACCTTGGAGAACACATGTGTACATCTTAACCTTTTTTCTGTTTCGTTTCTATGACAACTGTGAGCGACTCATTACAATTATTTTAAAAGTAAAAATCACTTTGACACATTGCAAGGAATTAACATTGAAAGTTTCAAAACGATTGCTTGAGTAGTTATTGAGAAAATCGAAATTAAAGAATTTTAACATTCCCCTGATTTCCATGGCAATAATCGATTATTTGAAAATTTTAAATGCAAAGCGCACAACTACATATACTAATCATTAAAATAAAAAGACTTTCATGACGAACGTTAAAGGGACCAGAGAGAACACTCTCGGACAAAATTCGTCGCTTTTTACAGGTTTCCATGGCAACGGTAGACATATTGGAACTGAACGACCTCACTGCACAACTACAACCAGTGATCGTCATTTGAGGAAAGTTTCAGGAAGATTGCCCCAGCCATCTCCGAGAAACAGCCTGGATAAAAAAAACATGCGTACAATATCAATATGTCGTCCCCGACTTCGTTCGGGGCGACATAATAAGAAACAGAGTAATAAGAAACAGAGTAAAAACAATATGTTCCCAAACTTCGTTTGGGGAACATAATAAGACAGAAAATTTCAATTTCTCATTTCTCTACTAGGATTTTTACATCGGGCTCGGCGTTGGTTTTATTCAGAAAGGCAGGAGTGGGTTCAAGGCAACTAGGGGTACCACACCGGTAATTGACCAATCAACATGAACTTAGTCAATTGTAGTTCCATACATATAAAGCCGATTTTCCTTTCTTTTGAGAGTTTTTTTTTTTTTTTTTATTTCCTTCCAGGCCATTTTGACAACTCTGGTACCTGTGCCTAGGAAATTTTATCTACTCTGTAAA